CGGGAGAATTCGGAAATTAAACGTTTGGAACAGCCGCTTCCCTACGACTTTAAGACAAGCTCCGATGCCTTCAATGACTGCCAGGGATTTCTCTGATAATGGTTACTAGAATGAAACCTTAAATGTTTTCAGTCCCTGAACCAGAACGACACTGGAAAAAAAGATCTAGAAATAGGTAGAAATGTCTTCATTTAAGTGTATTTACCCTTAATTTGAGTAGGTAAATAAGGAAAAAGTATTTTTACTCATTAATGAAATAAAATGCACTTGAAATAAAACAATGCAATTGTGTTTTCTTTTAAATGTAAAATTGTCTTGTTCTATTGGCAAAATGTATCTTTTAACTACTCAATTCAAGAATAAATAACACAACTAACACAAAAGCGAAATCTAGATCAGTCATTTTTTTTTAAAATAAGTGGATTTGTTTTTGAATTGCGGAGGTAAGAGAGACTTTTTGCCAATGGAAGAAGACAATTTACACTTAAATTAGAAAAAAACAATTGCATTGTCTTATTATAAGTGCATATTATATAATTATCTTAATTTTAAGAGTAAAATTACTCATTCCATTGGCAAACTTTCTCATTTACCTACTAAAATCAAGGGTGAATACACTTATTTAAGGAATTTTTCACTTATTTCTAGATCTTTTTTGCAGTGAACTATCTTATTGACCTACTTAAATTAAGGGTAAATACACTTAATTTAAGACATTTTTTTTTACTTATTTCTAGATCGTTTTTCCAGTGCAGGGAAACTAGGTCCACAAATCGCACAAAGCAGGCTGCAAGTACATCATGGAGCTAAAATGTAAATGTTAAATTTAACAATTTTACACACTGCAAAAAAAATGAAATCTCAGTCATTCATTTTTTTCTTAAAATCGGTGCAATTTTTGTCTTGAATTGAGGAGGTAAGTGAGATATTTTGGGAATGGAACAAGACAATTTACATTTTAAATAAGAAAAAGTTATTGTATTGTCTTATTTGAAGTGCATTTTATCAAATGTTCTTATTTGAAGAGTAGAAATACTCATTACCTTGGCAGATTTACCTACTTAATTTAAGTCTGAATGCACCTAATTTAAGGAGGTTTTTTTTACTTCTTTCTAGGTCGTTCTTGCAGTGCAAAAACTAACCGGTAAACAGTGGTGCACTGCAAACATTTTTATTCTAAATAAGTATTTTTTTCTTAAAATAAGAGCATTTTATCTTGAATTGAGGAAGAAAGGAGATACTTTGCCATTGGAACAAGACAATTTACATTTAAAATGAGAAAAACAACAATAGCATTTTCTTATTTCAAGTGCATATTATCTAATTATCTTATTTCAAGAGTAAAAATACTGAATATATTGGCAGATCATCTCATTTACCTACTCAAATTAAGGCTAAATACACTTCATTTGAGAAAAGTTTACTTATTTCTAGATCAGTTTTCCAGTGCAAGCACATCAGGAGACAGTAGCAGTGGGAGATGTGGAGTCAACAGGTCATCTCTATCAGGCAGAACAAATAGATGACAGAGAGATGACTTGTTGACTCAACATCTCCCACCTCTGGTAGAGGAAAAGTTCCCCCTCTCAGTATAAAGATGAGACCCCTCCAGTTCTGGAAGCCATGGGCCTATAGAGTATAGTAAACCACCACTCTAATGGGATGTTAAGGTCACCGTATGTCCACCAGTATGGTCACATGGCTCTCTGTCCTCCATTTGGCTCAAGGTCTTTCCCCTGTTGGGTCATTCTTTAAATGTGGTTCCTTTACAGCTGAATCAAGCTGTATTTTCTGTAAATATAAAGATTTTTTATAAACTATGCAAACTATGCTCTATTATATAATCAAGGACATTAGTCCTCCTACTTTTCTGCATATTATTTTCTAAAATGTTTTATTTTGCCACTGGAGTTTCCACTATTTCATTTGCAAAAGTAAAAGAAAAGACCTACTTTTTTTGTTACATACTTATACTAAAACAAATTTATTTTTTAAAATACAAAATAGCTTCATTTCATTTTTGTTGTTTAAAATGTAGCTTTAATGTTTGCTCACTGAAGTAACCTTGGTGACTGTCCCTTTAATTAAGCTCCACCCACTTCCCCTTGACTTTGGCTGTTTCTTAATTCATTAGAAAGCGAGTACGGACTCGTGTTCTCGCCAAGTCCGTTCCTGAGATGAACAGAGCAAAGTCTGGACTTGG